TAAATTACTAGTTGTGTTTTAACTGCAGCTGCTCTGCAACATGACGGTTTAAACGGGTCTATTTCTAATTCAGCGTTTTAAAATATCTATTACTGCTTAAAGTTTGAAAGGTGGTCTTTTTTAAATTCATGGTAATTACAGTTACTGAACTCAACTAGAAAATATTTGGCCTTTTTTTTCTGAGATTCATTCAACCTTTATTTCTACAGGTAAATCCCATTGAGCCTCCAGGACTCATTTACAAGAGAGACCTGATTTAACAAAGAATGATGACAACATGACAACAAGATTGATGTAATTTAGTTCAAGTTATAGATCATTTGTCAAAGACTGCAGCATAAATTGTGACATTATCATTAAAGAAAAACGTGATTGTGGAGATGAGTCAAGTTTAGTGTTTGGTAATCATGGATCAAGTTGAGATGAGACTCTTTCAAGACAGAACAAGAAATAAGAATTATTACAAGAATATATCAGCATCAATAAACTGTAGAACAGTAACAAAACAACTTATTAAACTATCACAGGTACATTGAGATGGAGCTGGAAGTTATTCTTCATGCCAGTTGTCTTCATCTGATCTTTTGTAAAAATATGTCCATTTATTTTCCATTAACATTTTTCTTCACAGGACTGAGTTAATTTTCTTGTCTGTGAGTTTCTTCTGTCCTGCTTATGTATTTTTTGTGTTCTAATTGTTCCTCAGGTTGTTCATCTCTGTTCCCTGACTGCCTGTTGATCCATCCTCCTGGTCCTGTTGATCCTGGATCATCAGATCCTGACTTGTCCCCGTCCTCTGAGGACACATTTTCATCTTTCCCTCATCTCATTCGCCTCATTTCTGTTTCTTCCTCAGTCTCTGAAATTACAACGTTACTGTTAGCATGAAGATTATTGTTCAATAAAAAATATGACATGTCTTACTGTAACACTGTTCGTACCAAAGTTGAGAGCTGGAGAGCTGGTGCAAAGAGAATAACCTTCACATCAATGTGAAGAACACAAAGGAGATGACTGTGGACTTCAGAAGGAGCAAAAACATCTACACCCCCCTGAACATAAGAGGATCTGCGGTGGAAGTGGTCTCCAGCTACAAGTACTTGGGTGTACACATGAATGACAACCTCAGCTGGAGCAACAACACCACCAGCCTGATCAAGAAAGCTCATCAGAGACTCTACTTCCTCAGACGGCTGAGGCGAGCTGGTCTGGGAAGCTCAGTCCTCACCTCCTTCTACAGGTGTGCAGTGGAGAGCATCCTGTGCTCCAGCATCAACGTGTGGCATGGAGGCTGCACAGCTGCAGAAAGAAAAGCTTTGCAGAGAGTGGTGAAGGCTGCACAGAAATCTGTTGGAATCAGCCTCCCCACCATCACAGACATCTACAACTCCAGATGCAGGAAGAGGGCCACCTGCATCATGAAGGACCCCACCCACCCAGCACACACACTTTTTGCCCCACTCCCCTCAGGAAGGAGGTTAAGGAGCATTAAGTGTAGAACCACTAGACTGAGGAACAGCTTCTACCCTGAGGCTGTTAGACTCATGAATCTCTAACCAGAATAATCACTGTGAAAAACCATATCATGTTGCTGCTGATCTGTTTCATGTTGCTGCTGATCTGTTTCAATGTTGATGTGTTCATGCGTGCTCATCTACTCACACAGACTCATGTTCATGTTTGTGCTGATGTTCAATGTTTTATGTTGAGTGCTTAGTGTATATTTAGTTGATGTTTTTCTTAGTTCATATCTTAGATGTTATTACTGTTTTTCTTATACATTTTATTGTTGGATGTAACTGGGACCCTGTGTACATAATTTCGCTCCACCACATGTACCACATGAGGTGCGAATGACAATAAAGAAACTCTGACTCTGACAAGCAGATCCAAAAGCCAAGCCGATACAAATAAAGGACAAGATACAGTTGTGACACACCGAGCAATACAGCACAGCAGATAAGAGCGTCTTTACAGTGGGCAGAGCAGTGAGTGCAGCGTGAGCAGTTGGAGGTGTGGGTAAAGGGTGAGCAGTGTTCACAGCGTCAAACCCGTTGAAGAACTGGTTTAACTCTTTGGCCTCCTGTTGTTCTCCTTCCATCACTGCTGCAGACTTTTTTTGACCAGCGATGCCTCTCATCCTGTTCCAGACCTCATCGGTATTGTTTAGAGCAAGTTTGCCCTCCAGTTTCCTTCTGTACTGCTCCTTGTAGGGGAACACCACCTCAGAAAAAGAACACCTCATCTCAGAAAACAGTTCAGTTCAGCTCAGCTTAAACAGAAAAAGAGTTCACCTCATCTCAAAACAAACATCATTCATGTGTTTTGTGGTTGAAACTGTTAAAATAAGATGCATTTATTCCCTTGGGAACAAACAGATTTTATTTTACAGGTGTTAAACTCAGTTTACAAACTCCTTAGTTGACACTAATCTAATGTAATAAAAACTGTCACTGTGTTAACTTCACTGCCAATATGAACTCATTTCCCACGAAACGGACAGATCGTCTTGAGAGCTTGTGGTTAAACTGACCTCGAAGTGAAACACCTGCCGAGACTTCAACTTTTATCAGAAAGGAGTACTACTCCCAGTATGGTTTCCCATGCAGATTAAGGTATAAAACGGGCCTTCGTTTTAAATGACGTTCTCTTTCAGGAGTTGAACAGCGACACCTGTTGGATGAACATTGCATGTTATTTCCACAGCTTCAGAACTGAATGTTTGTTACTGAAAATATCTGTCTAAAGTAACCTCTCTTTAAGATAATCATTTTTGTCTTAGTTGTCTCTTTTGAAAGAGCAACTTTAAAAAAGCAAACAGAGAAAATGGACTGTGATTTTCTTTAAAACATGACAGAGTCATGAACCATCCCTCTTTCAAGGGGAGGTTCCTAAATCAATCTGTAACACACAGACAGACAGTTAATTCACTTAATTTCGTACTCGACTTCATCCACTTCACCGCTCTTTCTACATCAACGAACTTCGAGTAAACTTCACAGAATAAACTTCCTCCTAGTGAGATGTTTTGGGAAGGAAGAGAACCAGAAGCAGAACCTGGCATTAACTTGAAACTTGAACCAGAACATCACGCCGCAGAGTGGTAAATCCCAGCTGACTCCCATATGGACCCTCGTCCCTCCAAGATAATAAAAAATAAAAAGACACAATAAAAAACTGAAAAGTGGGGCATGCAATATTATTGGGCCCCCTTGCGTTAATACTTTGTAGCGCCGCCTTTTGCTGCAGTTCCAGCTGCAAGTCTCTTGGGGTTTGTCTCTATCAGTTTTGCACATGAGACTGAAATTCTTGCCCATTCTTCTTTGCAAAACAGCTCGAGCTCAGTGAGGTTGGATGAAGAGTGTTTGTGAACAGCAGAGTCTTCAGCTCTTTCCACAGATTCTCGATTGGATTCAGGTCTGGACTTTGACTTGGCCATTCCAACACCTGGATACGTTTATTTGCGAACCATTCCATTGTAGATGTGTCTTTATGTTTTGGATCATTGTCTTGTTGGAAGATAAATCTCCGTCCCAGTCTCAGGTCTCTTGCAGACTCAAACAGGTTTTCTTCCAGAATGGTCCTGTATTTGGCCCCATCCATCTTCCCATCAATTCTGACCATCTTCCCTGTCCGAAAAGCAGGCCCAAACCATGATGCTGCCACCACCATGTTTGACAGTGGGGATGGTGTGTTCAGGGTGATGAGCTGTGTTGCTTTTACGCCAAACATATTGTTTTGCATTGTGGCCAAACAGTTGGATTTTGGTTTCATGTGACCAGAGCACCTTCTTCCACATGTTTGGTGTCTCCCAGGTGCTTGTGACAAACTTTAAACAACACTTTTTATGGATATCTTTGAGAAATGGCTTTCTTCTTGCCACTCTTCCATAAAGGCCAGATTTGTGCAGTGTACGACTGATTGTTGTCCTATGGACAGACTCTCCCACCTCAGCTGTAGATCTCTGCAGTTCATCCAGAGTGATCATGGGCCTCTTGGCTGCATCTCTGATCAGTCTTCTCCTTGTTCGAGATGAAAGTTTAGAGGGACGGCCGGGTCTTGGTAGATTTGCAGTGGTCTGATATTCCTTCCATTTCAATATGATTGCTTGCACAGTGCTCCTTGGGATGTTTAAAGCTTGGGAAATCTTTTTGTATCCAAATCCGGCTTTAAACTTCTCCACAACAGTATCTCGGACCTGCCTGGTGTTTTCCTTGGTCTTCATCATGCTCTCTGCGCTTTGAACAGAACCCTGAGACTATCACAGAGCAGGCGCATTTATACGGCGACTTGATTACACACAGGTGGATTCTATTTATCATCATCAGTCATTTGGGACAACATTGGATCATTCATAGATCCTCACTGTTGGGCTTCACCTTGACACTCAGACAATAATTCTGAGTGCCACAATGCCAGACAGGACAAGCGGGGTGGGACAGAAAGAGAGAGAGAAGGCCCTTTTGCTAAATTCAGTCCATATTGAGGGTATACTGCAGGTAATGATGTCTTGAGAGAGCACGCTGTAGTTGCACTGACGACAAAGTGACATGTAGGAGATAGGCAACAGTACTGATTGAAAGATGAAAATGTACCAGTGGAAGAGTCTGCGTGAAGTTAATGATGACCAAGTGACCAATGAATTCAGAGTGCAGTGACGAGTATGGTAGTTACAGCCAGTTATGAATTTTAGTGCACCGTGATAAACAGCATCCAACATTTGCAAAGTGCTTGCAGGAGCGTTCATATAAATGTCACCATAGTCAAGTATAAACACATGAGCTTGCCTATATATAAACAAAGTTAAACTTGATAAAATACAAGAAAAAGAAAGTGATTTATATCTTCCTAATAATATGCTCCAGATTAAACAATTTCATTCCAACCAGCCTGAGGTCACACTTGAAAATAGCTGCTGGATTAAAGTCCCACTCTACCTTCCATTTCCGGTCTCACATTGGCTGCGAGCTGATTGGCTGACGGAGCTGTCAATCACGGTGTCCTTGCCGCCCACTTCCGCTAGGTTCCAGAGTCATAACAGTCTTCGGTTGTTTCTGTTATCCGAGGTTAAATTGACATTAATTCGCAGGTATATTTGATGTAATTGTGTGCACTTGGGTTCGCCGGTGTGCGTGTTTGTCTGTCAGTGGGTGTGCCGGTGTTATTTGTTAATCTATGTTTCGGTTCACGGATTTTATCACAGCAGCAACGATGCTAACAGCTAGTTAGCCTGTGAGACAGGAGAGAGCTGAGAGTTTCTTTGAGTGACAGCAAGCTGCTGTTTTAGTCATAACACGAGCTGGTGTTGTTTAAGGTTTACCCAGGTAAAAAGGTGGTATTTGCTTGGTGTAACCGCTTGTTTTTGCTATAGCAGGCGGGTGTTCAGCTGTGATGCTAGGAGAGAAGGCTGGTCGATGTTGCTGGAAACACCATGACTGCTGCTGAGTAACATCTAGTTACTTCTTCTGCTCAGGATGAACAGCGAGGAGGAGTTTTACGACGCAGAGACAGGTGAGACACACACCTCACATGGCTTCTCATGTGTTTCAGTAAACTTATGTTTGTGTTTTGTCCGGGTGATCAGGACTTGAGTCTGATGATTCCTGTGAGGTCAGCTTCAAGGATGCCCTGGTGTTTGACAACAAACAGGAGACTGATGGCTGCACTCAGGAGAATGGCGTGTGGGAGCACAGGTGAGGAGCCATGCTCCACCACACCCTAACACTCCTGTAATGATAAGTTCAAGTAGGTTTTATTGTCATTTCGTCACATGTGGTACTGATACATGAGGTGACATTAAATTATGTACACAGTGTCCCAGTTACATCCAACAATAGCCAAAATATAAACTGTAAAAAGAAAGAGTAATAAGGATCTAAGATATAAACATAAGAAATATGCTAAACATTAATAGTGCAAAAAATACACTGAACAACAGCAGCAAGAACATGAGTCTGTGTGAGTAGATGAGTAGAGAATAGAGAATAATTAGAGAATAAAGAGTACAGAATAGTAGAGAATAAACATGTCCTATCACACCCTAACACACTCCTGTAATGACCTGTAATCATAAACATGTTCTATCACACCCTAACACACTCCTGTAATGACCTGTAATCATAAACATGTTCTATCACAACCTAACACACTCCTGTAATCATAAACATGTTCTA